GTAATTTTACGAATTTATTTTATCAACAAACATATGAACTCTAACTGTTAACCAATGGATAAAAAGCAATGAAAATATGTATAAAAAATGAAAACCTAACAAATGGCAAAACATCTTTGACTGAATATACAGTAATACTGTGTCTATAGTTTGGTTAAATTTGAGTGAATTTTTAGAGACACATAAAAACGATAATAAAATGTCATTTATAACTGACATCACCTGAAATCTGTAAAAAAAATTCAATTACTTGTTTCCAGTTATAATCCCATTATTATATTTACTATCGTTTACAATATTTGTATTAACACAAAAAACATAAATTTTATTATAGAAATTTATTACATAACTTAAATGTATTTTACTTTAAATCTGTTAAATGCTTATCATTTTATCAAAATAATTGAAACAAAAATATTTTTCACTATTTTGCATTTTGAATGTAGACATTATATATCGTTATTATTTTATTTATAAAATTACATAAAAATCAAGCAAAATAAATAAAGTATGTAATTTTAAAAATATTTTCTAGAAATATGTTTTATATTTAGAAACAAAAATAATAATTATTATCACTTACATAAACATTTTGAATATCTTTTTAACTATTATTTTTTGCTCAAATATTTAACATTTAATTTAATAGCTGTAAAATAATAAGTTAAATTTTTAAAATAATATTTTCTCAAATATTCTGTTTATTATATAGTGTATTAATTAAATAAAAACTATTTCAAGTATTATTTTTATAATATAAAGCTATTAAAATTTTGAATTATATATTTTATAATATATAGTAGCAAAAGTTATTTCATATTATATTGCTATTATAGTCTATAATAATAAACCTTAAAATTTATAAAATAAGTATTGCAATTTGCAATTGAGTTTTATAAAAATATTACAATAAATATAAATTATGAATTAAAATTAATTCAATATATGAATAAAATGCAATGCAATTGTATTTATTGTATTGAAAATAATTTTCATAATTATCTATTCATCTCTCTCTCTCTCTCTCTCTCTCTCTCTCTCTCTCTCTCTCTATATATATATATATATATATATATATATATATATATATATATATATATCATTGAACTAATAGTAAATATCAATAGTGTTAGAAAGTAACCAATTGGTGTTATTGAAGATTGAGGCAAAATTGTTTAATAGAAATAGTGTCAACATATAAAAAACACCAATCAGACCAATAGTACTGTATATATAAATTATATACAGTATATATATATATATACCGTAATATACACTAAATCTATATACAGTACTAACTATATTCTGTGTGTGTAATGGTTAAGGAATATCTAAGTAAAAGAGTTTGTAGTTTTTTGACTGCATTTTATCGACTTTTTGGTGTTTTTTGGTGTTCAACGAAATATACATTTGAGTCGTCAACTGTTTAACAATAATAAGCAAACGCTGAATATATATGTATTCAACGGCACTAATGTAACGATCGATATAATTGGTATAAAACATATACAACTCTTTTAGATACTGGAGTCCCAAATATGTTATGAGATGTGATGCCTAGACATCCAATGATGTATTAAATAAAATAAAAAATATAAGACAAAACATTTTTATAGCTATTCATACATTCATATGATTAGAGATATGACTGTAAAAAATATACGAAGACATGACCGCATCGCTGATGGCATTCATCCACTTCTCTCTTCTATTATATGCAAACTAAAGCCACTGTTTTGATGACTTTGGATATTAATTCAAAAGAGTTCTACATCTATAAGATTGTATCAAAACCTCTATAAAGTATAAATATTAGACACATATACACTGTATATATAATAATATATTTAATATAACTATATAAGGGTTTTATGTATTATGTTTAATATGTATATATTTTGCCATTTGCATTGAATTGAAGAAAACATTTGCAATACTTTAACAAACAATAATATCGGATATATTTTGAAGTAAAGTATGTTTGCATTTGAAGTCAACAGCAAAGTGAAAGCTATTTTGTGAGTGAGTGAGTGAGTGAGTGAGTGAGAGAGAGAGAGAGAGAGAGAGAGAGAGAGAGAGAGAGAGAGAGACTATTTCTCTGCATCACTAATATTAAGTCCTCATAATCGACAACAAAAATAAATACATTTTATTTTCACAGTGTTATATAAAGTTGAGAAAGAAATGGGTCGATATGTTGCATATACTAAAATTTTTTTATATGAACAATAAATATAAGAGATATTTATAACATTATAATATACAGTATTTGATAGAAGTTAGTAATGTATACAATATATATAAATATACAGAATATTTCATGTAATAATAGTTAAGACTATGTTATAACTTATAACTTTGTACTTTAATTGGTCACTACTCGAGTCAATTACTTTGCTCTGACTGTCAAAATTAGTTTAACACCAAAAAGCAATACACTATCTCTTCAATAAATTTTTATTTAATAAATATAACTAACTTTCAAAAGGTTTTATACAATATTTGCCAATAAATATATCCTATTTATTATTTCATGTATGTTTATATATATATATATATTATATATACTAATAATAATGTAATTCTGTATATAAAATAGATTATATTACTTTATATATAGTAAAGAAAGATAGATTGATTTACAACTAAATGAAACATTAATGGGAATCACATCCTATTATTGAATTAAAAGTAAATCACTTTTTTTCGTTTTAAGTCATTGATTACTTCCAACAAATTTATATTATATACTAATTTACAGTATATTCAAAATGTTTTATAAACTAAAATAACAATAAAAAATTTAATGAAACTAAATTGTCAGCAAATAATAAAAATGTTATTTGAGTCAACAATTATTTATAATTAAATTATATAATTATTTATCATTTAATTACCGTTGTTGCGCACACGCCTTTCCATGGCAGATAATGCGATAAGTGGCAGCTTTTGTGGTAATTGGTTCCCCTGGAATTTGTTAGATTTAGGGGCACAAAATACCAGCCATGTTACAAGTTTTTATTATGTATCAAATTCATGCCACTCATAATTTTTTCTCATTATTTAATTAATGCCACCCTTTAGTACTGTAATGTATGATCGATCCATACATAGTGTTTTTGATCGATCGATCGATCAAATATTTAAAACTATTTAAACTGTAATACAATGTAAAATAAAGTTTTGAAGTTATATAAAAAATGTGTTTTTTAAAGCTTTAATATTAAACAACAATTTCTTTGTTTTATTACCGATGATTGAGTAATAAATTTTATAAAATGTGTGATCAAATTAGCGTTGAATATTCAAATGATTTACCTCTTGATCTCACAATAAAAAAGAGATCAAATCAAGAAAGTAATGGTAAACCTATTGATAATACCAAAAGTTTGAAACGATTAACAACTACTATCACTCCAATACCATACGACGGTTCCGATGATTCAAAGAAAGTCATCTCTAACACACCTATTGGCCAACCTATCAATGATATAGTAATGAAAGCTAACTCCGTACTGATCGATCAATCCGTGGTAATGACAGATAACTCAGAAGAATTGATCGATCAATCCGTGGTAATGACAGATAACTCAGAAGAATTGATCGATCAATCCGTGGTAATGACGGATAACTCCGAAGTACTGATCGATCTACCGATTCTTGATATTAAATTAAACTCTTGAAGGATCAATTGAGTCATTCGCTTAACAATCAGTTCACGAGTTTGAAAGACAATCACCCTTTGGAACAGACTGTCAATACCGGTAATCTAGAGAGCGATCAAACCATGGATCGATCTGATCGATCAAATTACTGGACAATGTCATCGATTAATAAGATATTGGACCCGTTTTTTGTTGGCGTAACCGACGATGAGATATGTCTTATATCTCATACTTTGTTTGGCATTAAAAATAGTAAAACACTATTTTTTGATGGATATAGTGATTCACGTCGGTATCGATTACCTAACAATATGTTTATAGATATCCAGAGAGGAGACAATTGTAACAATCGGATGACATTCAATAAATTTGCCGCATATGTGGGTCAACGATATCTAGAACTATTTAAAGGCGGATCTGGCAATGCTATTATACTGTATTTATACAGCAATATTATAATGACCACAAAAGCACCCAATTATTGGCCATATCTTATGCATTACGGCATACAGTTTGCGTTCACCGAAGCCAACGATAACATGAAGAGATCGATCTATTTAGCCATCTCTGCAATGGACTTATGTCATCAATTTCAAGAATAATCGTTTGGCAAATAAGACTGCGTTTCGCACCGCCGAGGATATGATCAGTGCCGGTGTTGTCCGACCTATTTATAAGAATTTAGTGAAGACTGCGTGACCCGATGTATACACCTTCTATGAGGCAGACAAAGCTACCATCGATTTGAAAACTTCTTGTATTTTATTTAACTTTAATGATCCTAACTATTAATTATAATTATATTTCCATTTCTTAAATTGTTTATTTTGATATTTATTTCATTATAAATGTATTAAAAATTATTTTTCGGGTAAATAAAAATAAATTAATTATTTATTTGATTATTTTACATTAGATTTACATTAAATTAGTATTGATCGATCATTTATTAATTATAGATCGATCTTAGGATATGAAATTATTTATTTATTTATCGATCGATCATTTATTTAATTAATTATAACTAAATTTAGATATTTAAAACACTTATAATAGTGTAGATACCAGTTATCACATTTACTGCCATTCGATTATTTTAGTTATCGCATTATCTGCCACTGTATGGCAGGTTTAGTGGTAATTAGTTCCATACCTTTTTGATACTTTTAAATAATTTTTAAAATTGATATGTCTAATTAAGTGGTTAAAAACGGTATATGTTTTATGTGGATCTAAGTGAATATAATATGACAATCATCTTAAGTGACACCTCTTAATAAATGATTTATTATAAATTAATTTATAAATATTAATAATATAACGTTTATTATTAATTATACATAGATGTGATTCATCGGTCCTAAAATGAAGTGCCATTGAGTGTCACATAAGTATTCATTGAAACCATTGGTTTAATAAATGAGCGCTTCTTTGAGTATAAAAACCAATCGATAATCCATTACATAATTTCAATGTGTTTTCTGTTTCTTTGGCTCCACTGGTGTCGCGCCAAACGATTCTCCTGTTGTAGCCTTACGTCGGGCGAGAATAGCGTTAATCTTTTGGAGGTCACGATCCAGTTTGACCCGTTCCTCCTTCTTGCCGGTCACGCGTCGGGTTTTCCTTCCGTCGGCCATTTTCAGGCCGTATTGAAAGGCAGCCTTCGGTAGCGCCTCCTTATTGCTCATATAATCGCCATACTCTTCGGCCGTATCGAAATCCCAACGGCCAACGACACCCTTTTTGTTACCTAAATCCATCTTAGAGTAGTCGACTTCATCGTCACTATCAAGTATGGCGTCGTCATTCTCTGGAGCACCCGGATAGCACTCGGCATAACTATCGGGCACATCATTATCCAATCTATTCGATGATTTATTTCTTATTTGAATATTTGATATATTATTACTACCGGTGCCCGTAATACCAGACAATACAATATTTCTGGCATCTCTTGTTTCAGGTTTTCGTGAGTCATTCTCTTGGCGACCACTTTTATCAAAGTAATTTCGCGAACGTTTATCACGATTAGATCGATCCCTTTCCCGTTCCCTTTCCCTGTTCCTATAGTCACGAACCTTATGATCTCTATAATCCCTATCCCTTTCGCGATCATTTTTAGACTCCCGTCTTTTGAGATCCGGTACATAGTCTTCAATGTCCTCATAAATACTGTCACCTTTTGAATCTTTAATTTGTTTTGTTTTGTTATCACTTTTATCATTATCATCACTAATAAGTGAATTTTTCTCTTTAATTTTTTTAGTCTTTTTGTTAACACCTCCTTGTCTTAAATATGATAATATTTGTGTTAATTTGTTTAACACAATGTCATTAGTGCTTAATGTGGTCATCGATTCAATGTTAGGACAATCGGCTTTACTACGGATTAAAGTCGTCGGGATATCACTTTCGGCAAATTCTTCCTCTAAAATAATGAAATTACCGGTAATTGAAATTTTAATAAAACATAAAACGACAAATAATATCAAAAGACATACCGAGATCTACGACATAAGCCATTCTTCCTGCGAGAAACAGTTCATTTCTTTCTGGTAATTGTCTGTTAATTAATACATTCACTATATTCTTGGCGAGACTCGACTTAACCGCATTTGGATCGTCCGCTTGTAATGGTTTGTCGGTCACCAAAGAATTCGTCTTTTTATTATTTTTATCGCTCTTTGGTTTTTCTTCTTCTTCTTCCTCTTCTTCTTCATCGATGAGTTGTCTTTCTTTTTGTGTGTCTTTTTCATCCTTTTCTTTATTATTGATTTCAGCCTTAACTTTATGAAGAAGTGCATAATCTAATCCCTTGACCAGATGTGTGTGTTCCATATCTCCTCCCAAGAACTTCGACTCCTGTATCACTTGTTTGCGTCTCTCGGCTGCGTCCAGTCCCGACTTAAGGTCAGGCGCTACGGCTCTATAGGCAGCAGTTGTGGCCATAGACTCGTTGTCCTGATTATAATCTGGATTAGAGTCATCCCTGCGCTCCCGTGCTCTGTCCCGATATCTTTTGGCCAAATCGGAAAGTGTGTCTTCTTCTTGTCGCTTAAGAGTCGCGTAAAACTTCTTTTTCTTCTTTCTGTTTTCATTGGCTTCCGCTTTAAGCGATGGTCTTTGTCCGCGCACTGACTCTCTAACCGAAGCACTTCCAATACTACCACTTCCTGAGGTCATTGTAGCCCTCGGTGTCATCATTAGTTTACGGAAGTCAGCGTTGGTCAGCGGATGACTGTCACTCATTGGCGTCGGCTCTTTAAAGGCCTCTTTTCTGTCCATCACTTGCTGTGACGGCGGCGCCAATGGATTAGAGAAGGGCTCCACTTCTTTGTCGTACATCTTATAGTTAATTGAAACCAATTATTATTAAATCAATTGATATTTATTTCAATACTATTTTTATAAACAAATTAACAAAACATTTGGTGTTTGTTTGCATTGAAATAACTAATGACTTCAATGCAGACATCTATTGTTTATTGCATTCAATACTTGTTTAGCGCTTCATTTGAAATAGTTATCAATAAATAATTAATATATTAATAAATGATTAGATTTAATAATTAAATTAATTAAAATTAATAATATTTACTCGCAATAATAAATAACTTTTCAAAAATATAATATAATATAATATAATAATAGTTTTTATTAAATATTTATTAAGATTTAATTTTCATGCAAAAGACAAACGCATTATGTATTTATAGTTTTTGTAAATATATTGAAAATTATATTAATTTTATTTGAAATATTGAAAGTTTAATAAATGATTAGCGAAACACAATTGATAGTAAATTTGATCATTAAATTGTTTGTAAATATATAATTCAAAAGTAATTCATTATTAGAATTACGGTATATTTACTGTATAATAACAATAATAATTTTATTTTAATATTACAGTACTTTAATTTAATATTTAAATTGATGAAAATTTATAATTTTTTAATTACAGTACTAATTGTTGAATATTAAAATAAAATAATTAAAAACAAATGACTAATAAATCTTTTTAATGATTTTTACGCTACTTTTTACCGAAAACTTTGTCAAAGTTGTGTTGATCTTTAATTCCTCCAAATTTTAATGATATAAACCATTGATTATTACAACTATATTGTTCAATACGACAAAACCAGTCGTCTAATTGGTTGTTACTATCAATGAGTGGCACCACATCTGACAATTGGATTTCAATGTCTTTTCGATTGCCGAAGAATGTCAAGTGACCCAATCGTACCAATTGATTATCATTTGAGATATATATACGACCAACAAAATGGCGAAACATATATCCGATGACATACAGCATCGACACCGAGAAGAAGCCCATAATTGTGTATGTATTGCAAGCGTCTAATGGTATCAAATCAATGGCGTAAAAGACATAAGTTGTCGGAACTAATATTACACTCAATACACTCATCCATAACTTTACTCTTTGATATGATCTCAACTGATAGATGTATGGGAACTGATAAATAGTGATCCATTGCTTAACTTCCTGATGTGATCCAGTTTTCCACCGCTGAATACCAACCAATCCTGAGCTCTGATCATCTGATTTCTGGCTGTCATTTAGATTGTAAGCTACAGACGTCTGTTTAGTCGGTAATGTCTTATTCAACACATCACTACTTTTTAGTTTGTCTTCTTGTGAAGACAAATCTCTGCTAAAATATTTCATTAAATAGTTGTGTCTTAAGGCCAACAATTTTAAGTGATTGTCACCAAATGGTCTACTTTTATAACGACATACACTTGTAGTGAGCTATCAATGAAATCAATTGACAAATCAATGACTTTAACCATCAATTGTTGACAAACAAACCTTAAGACCATTAATGGTATGATATTTATCGCCAATCAAGACATTCAAAGACCGATTCAATACATTTGATGACAACATTGTTGTCTTTTAGGGATTACTTTCATAATTAAATCATTCAATGTATTCAAACATTTCGACACTTTTGATCACTAATTTATATTTAATTCAATTGTAAAACTTATTGCATATTTGAAATAATCAATAAATATTGTGTGTATTACTGTTAATCATATAATAATAATATTGTAAATCATTAAAGTTTATGTCAAATATTTCAATTTGTTTTATTAACAATAATTTATAAACAAATAATTGATAATATAGTGAAAGTCCCTCAAAAGTATTAGATTTGGTATTATTAATAAAAATATGCAAAACATTATGCAATACATTGCATGTGCTTTCATACAGTATAACAATACATATCATAAATACATTATATTTTGATATTTATGTCAAAAAAGTTGTCAAAAATGATTAAACATTTGTTTTCAATAATAAGTATTATTATTATTATCACTTATTTCTTCATTACTATTACTGATTGTAAGGACACACCTATTATATCCTTTAATGTCTATGAAAGGGATGACTCTTTTGGCCAGTATTTTGCAAATCTATTGATTCCTTCACTTAATATCAGTACTGAAAGTAATATCAGTCTAAGTGATGATAATTACAAGATTAACATAAAAGTTGATAAACCCATTGAATTGCAATTATCGGGTGATGTAAAAGTCATAACTAGTGACCAATCTATGGATAAAAAGTTTGACATAAGTTTATCGAGTAATACATTGCCTCATCTAAACACCAGAAGTCATGTATCAATTACCAGACAATCGGATACCGAGACACTTGTTTTGACTAATATATCACTTAAAGACAATATCAATAACATGAGCGCCACATATGAGTGCACTTTATTCAAGCGGACCACTTGTCCAGAGATAACATTACACCACAATCTGACCACATCTCCCGAATCATTGCTATACTTCTCGTCAAATGTCACCGAAGTGTGTGACCCGCAAACCGATTCGTCTCAAATGGCAATCAATATAAGTATGTCATCTCAAGTCTGGCAGATGGCAAACACACAGTTAAGACAAATATTTAATTTCGGTAAAAATAAAGGCTCGGAAACTATGAACGCCAGTCATCCGCTGATGGATATCTCGGTTGTTGCCGATTGGGACCGAACCACTCAATTGATTCACTTTAAGAAAGCAGTCTTTTCGAGTAAATTCACTGATTTTATTCCCAGTTTTGATATTATATTTAAACAATACAAAGATATACCAAATCAATTAATTGTCAATATATTGAAAGACGTGCCAAATATATTACAAGATATTAGAGATGAACTTTAAAGAGTTTTATTTATGGAAATCAAATATAAATCAATAAAAAATACTCATAACTGCAAAAATTAATTAAAAAATGTTTGTATATATCATTTATATAAATTTTAAGAATATTTTGTTGAAAAATTCCTGATAAATAATCTCATTAACAAATTATTATAATTTAATGCAAGTTTTAGACAAAATATGGCAATATTTAAAACTTAACAAATATAAACTATTTTTTTGCGAAATTTGATATAAAACAATTTGTAGCGTTTAGTAAAAATATATGGCTATCACTTAATGATTTTGTTGATATCACTGTTTAAATTATGGAATATATAGTAAGTACGGTAATGGCACTTAAGGTTTTGAATATTTGATAAAAATAATGAACTAATGACAGTATAAATACATTATTGTTTGAGCAAACTATTAATAAAATTGTCAAATAAGACATTTGATTAGATTATGGATGCAATCAATGAATTGAGTTGTCGTTTGAATGGCAAGTATAGCCCGGATTAAAGTAAAACAATTTCTTCCAACCTCTTGATATGTGTTCCATCACTTGTTTCTCTCCGTTCTCTGTAATCTTATTGTCGATAAACTCCGATGCCTTTCGGTAATTGAAAAAAATATTACTTTATATAATTAGCGTTAATGATAAAAGCAAACCATTGTAAGTATTTGATGTAAATCAAAGGAATGGGCATATTTCATGAGTGCTTGACTTAGAGCTGTTCCAAACCATGATCCAGTACCTTCATTCCTCCAAGACACAAAACCTATTCATAGCATACAATTATTAGCAATTATTTTCATACATTTATCATTAGTATACCATCAATAGTTGAATAGCAGATCATAATATCTCCATTGAGTGGAACTTTAGTGGAAGTAAATGGTTTGGCATCACTGACGGCCGCTTCCATGCCTTCAAATACATGCTTTGGTCCAGAGTCGTGATTATCTGATTATAAAAAATTTAATACAATTTAATGAATTGAAATCCTTAAAGCATTGAATACCTCCGCGACAACAGTTAAAAAAGAAAAGTTTCGGTTTATTTATTAGTTGCGGACATTTTTCATTGTTGAACGTCTCTATAATGGACTCAAATTGAAACCCATATCCATCGGATGCTATTATCATAATAGTTAAATAATTATAATTTACCGGTAATTATAAACATTAATAAAATATAATTTAGTGATGACTTACTGATGACAAACCCGCTCTGTCCGTGTGACAGAATAACAATGACAAGAGAGTCGTGATCTCTTAGATCAGCATTACGTGACAACTCGTGAAGTTTTTCTTGCATTCTTTCTCTCGTAAGGTTAGTCTCGACAATGACTTTGAACTGAAGTTGACTGAAAACATCATTCAAACGTTTCGTTTCCGTTTCAGAGCCCAGTCTTTGGGGATAATTAACGAATTTATCGAAATTAAAAATAATACAAAATCCTCGTGGATTGCGATTCATTGGATATATGTTTTTGCCAATCATTGGCTTTTTACACTTCTGCACTGTTGACAGGTATTCATTGTGTTCAATGAGTCCATCAGTGGCTGAAGGGTCACCACCACTGCCATCATTGAGTCCTAAATTTGTAAATCCAAGAGTTGATGCCGATTCTGCCGGAGAAGATGTTATATTCTCGATCACCTCATCCTGTGTTAGGGCTGTTTTGAAAGAGTTAGGTCTGAGTTTTTTTGCCACATCCATCTGATCCACGCCATACAGTACTTCAACAAACGTATCGCAAGCTTCAGGTCCGCGACGACACAAATCCATTAAAAACCTCTTTTTGCGATCACTTTCGCTCTCAACTCGCTATAGATTTAAGTCATCAAAAAACAGTGATTAAAAACAACTGGTTTTGTGATATCAATAATCGTGTGTTTAAATAGTCTATTAGTTATTATTAATGCCTAACAATATTATCTTATCATAAAATAGTTGTTTTATTCATTAACTATTTGTTTATTTGTAATATGTCATCAATTTTACTAATTTCATGGATTATTTAATTAACCAAAAAAATCAATGTCATATTTGTCATTAATTGACTATTTAGTTAACTATTAATATTAAGTTTACTTTTAAAGTTTGATTAATTAGTCAAATGTTATTATCTATGATATAAAAGCTATGGTAACCTATGTTGTCAATGTATTTACTGAATATACAAATTATTATACAGTAATTGATTAAATATTTCAAAGTTTTATTAGTGATCACTAGTAATAATAAAACAATGTATTTAATAGTCATTAAACTTCAACATTGCTTTACATATAAATTGTTATAACATTAATGTCTAAGAGATGATGCAATCGTCACTTGAATAGCACTTCATTTATAGGCGACAATCATCTCAACGGTCACTGACTCTTAAGCAATGACTTAACATTTATGACAATTATTATCAAATTTTAGTATTAATTATCATTAAAATATTGTTAATACAACTATATATTGCAATATAATAACTATTAATTAATATATCATATATTGATAACATTGGTCATCAATGATTGGATTCATTAATATTAGTAATTAGTAATAAAGTCATACAAACCATGATATCATTGATCATGTATTGAGTGAATATGTTTTTGTTTATCAATTGATTCAATAGGTTTGAGTTGAGATCCAATAGGTCTGTGAGGACATCGATGTTGTCCTCAATGTTTTGTCTGTCACTTTCATTCATCACTCAATTGTGTCGACACTCAGTCTATTACTTAATAAACAAATGCCAAACACTTAACTAAAGTCACAATAATAGACAACACAATAGATATATATAAATATCATATCAATAGACAAAACCAATGAGTCATACCTTTTAAATACTGAATAAGTTTTGAATAAATATCAAAAATACTATTATTTGTATTCAAAAAGTAATGTAAAACTATTAATACATTCAAGTCATGTGTTATTACAGTATATATTGTCATACAGTAGACGACACAACAAATGATGTCTCAGTTAACAGCTATCAAGTGATGGCCTATAAGTTATCCATAGGTTATACATATTTATTATGATTAGGACTTATCAGTTGTCGTAAAGATTATACCCAAACAATAAATAATTAATTGACTACTTATTTGAGTTAATTATATTATATAATGTACTCAAAGTTAACAAATATACAAAATATCACATATTTATTATTTATATAATGTTTTAATATTATCACTTATTTTTGGTTAAATGTCCATTTGATGGCAACTCTGTTCACATTATATCATAACCTATAATATTAATAAATATAGTATTAATATAATGACTTTACTTTAACTAGAGTTCGGGTAACTTCCCAAGGGATAGAATTCCCAGAGTTCCCTAATAAATTCCTCCAATTTTTCAGGAAAATAATTTTATATTATAACAAAAAAATAATACTAAAACTTAATATTTTGCATAAAATTTCAGTGAAATATTTAAAAATTGATTATATTATTTAACAATACCACTCAATATCCAGTTTGATATCAAATTTGTTTCAATAGGGGTTCTATTGGTTCAATAGGCACATGGAAATTGATTCCTTGGGAATTTTCAGGGAGTAGGGATAATAAAATGAGGGGGTATTTGTAATACATTTATATTGTTTTAATAGCGGGTAATACTGTATAGTAATACAGGTGTGATATAAAATAATATTTATATATAAAATTAGCAATTTTTAAATGACTAGAAGTTATTGTTTTTCTATATTAATGTGAATAACTATTAGATGAATCACTAATTGTTACTTTTATACTTTAGCCTTATATTCAATACTACTGTATAATCAATGTTTTCGTTTAATTAGGTTATCATTAATCACCAAATAAACAGTATTTGAAGCTATTTAATAGATTAATTTATAATAACAGTAATAATATAATAAATAATTTTAATTATTTGATTACTTATTAATTTATTTGTTAGTAATAATAATTTTTATATTGTGCAATATTTTCTATACCTATGTTGAATAATTATTAAATATTATTAATAGTTTGTTATATAGTTTGTAGGTAACATATAGAGTGTAATTAATTGGTTAAGTTTAATTTTATAATATTCAATATATTGTACAGTAATTAGTGTTACACTGATTAAAGTATGTAACGGTTAGATTTGGGTTTTAACAATTAAATTATAGTTTAGGTTTTAGTTTCCAGGTTTGGTTACTTTAAAAAGTTTTCCTGATTTTTCTTAACTCTAACACTGACCACACAAACATATATTGTATGAAATGATGAAATTTTCTCTATTTTCATCACAAATTGATAAATAAATGTTTATTTATTTATTTTTTATATCGATATTTCTAAATTAAATCATTAGAATATTTTTATTTTATAAACACTTAATCAATTTTCTAATAAATAGCATAAATATTATCTTAAATATAATAATAAAATGTGATTCAAGAAAATATCTGCACTCATTTTTTTGCTGACAAATGTAGAAAAAGTTTTATTTTTCAGTTTTATCTTTTAATATATCAAAAGACAAATGTTGTGACACGTATAACACCACTAAAGAAATGCAATATATTTGGAGCTTTTGTTTGATATATATATATATATATAGTAGTAGTAGTAAAGAAAGTCTTTTTTTACTTAAAAACATTATTTAAAGTCTTAATTTTATATCAAAAGATCAGCAAATTTAATGCCAAACAAAAAGAGAAAAATTATATTTTTTAAAAGAGAAATAATTTTTCTATTGAATAATACGTTAAAGTATTAAAAATACTGAAACTTTACAGAAAGTATTAAAATGTAATTTTATGTCTTTAGTTGAGACAAAAAAAATAATCCCAAAATTTTTGGTCATATTTATTGTCTTTGATTTAAAATTGTCAAATGTTTTCAAATCGTAACAATGCATGGATTTATTGATACAATTCAGTCGATAATTTTAGATTAATTTATTTTATAATAAATATAATTTATATTTAATATCTGTATTTAAAAATATTGTTATTATTTTTGGTTGAAAACATTTGATTGTTTGATTAAGTGATTAAGTTAAATGGTTTGTTCAATCTTGAGTCAAAGTTAGATTTATTATAATTAATATATAGGTTTTACATAAATTAGTTTAGTATTAAATTATTAACAATTCAATTATTTAATCATAAGAAATCACAAGAGTCGTTATGTTCAGGGCTCGAACCCGAGACTATTACTCCAAAACAACTTACGCCTCTTTGGTTTAAATTTCACACTATTTAAAATCAAAGGATTAAATAAAAAACTATTTGATAATTAAATATATATATATATATATTATATGACAATTTAAACTATTTAATGATTTTTGTTGACACTATTTTAATAATCTTTTATATAATGCAATAAAATAAAAATATTTGATATAATAATTTTAATGAATGGTTCGTTTTTTTCTTAATGTATATAAAATTAGTAGTAATTTTACTAAAAGCTTTTGTTTTATGATAATTCATAAAAATATGTTTGCATTGTTTATAGTCTACAATATATTATATTATAGATATTCTTAACTTATGGATATAATGTTGAATACCATCCATGAGCTCCATAAGCATCACAATCACTAACACTAACGACAACATGCTATACACTTAGCCATACATTTACTAAGACAGTGATCGAGAGATTTGTTTTGATTTTTACCACTTTTGCCGCTGTTTTTCCACTCTATTCAACACTCATATCATGTAATCTTATAGTAAGCTTTGATTTATTGAGTTTAGTTTGTTTTGTGACAACAACTAAATTACTTATAAGTGCCAACACTTATAACAATAACAGCAACAACTGTATACCATTTTTTTTGTTTGCTTCACACAAAACAATAAATGTTTCATAAATTGATTGTATTATTAAAAGTAATTAAAAGATTAAATAATATGATAAAACACATGAATTATGTTTATAACTAATGATTAAGTTTACATTTAATAATTGATAATCATCTAAGATTTATACTGAAAAGTATTTATTAATATTACAAGTGATAATATTATTTAATTTTCTAATACATTAATCTAAATAAAATTAATTTTTACTAAAAATAATTGCTTTTACTGAAAGTTAAGGTAATTGTGTTACAAGAAATTGAATAGAAATGATGAATCAAATGATAATATTAAGCAAACAGTTCCTAAACAACGATAATTTACTGTAGTTTTTCTCTTAATGTTTGATCAAATCTGCAATTTTCTCGTTTGCTTTTTTGTGGTCCAAAACAATCCATTATTTTATTTGCAGTCCAATAATGAATTAGTAGAAAACTTCTGACTTTTATTTAATGTCTAAATGTTGTAATGAGAAACTAGTAGTGAATAAATAATACTATCATATATTATTATCAACTATACTATATAATACAGTTTATATATTATATGTAATAACTTTAGTAAAACTACTGTATTAATGATTTTTATCTATTTTATACAAAAAAATAATAGCCAAAAATTGTTATTAGTTTACTTAATTGATATAATTTTTCAACTTATAAATACTGTTATTTATTTAAACTTATAATCAAATTATATAACAACTCAAATATAGTAGAATATAATGTATAGATAGAAAAATCATACTCTTTTATTTAGAAAAACAGTGAATTTATGAGATATGGCTAATAATATGATTGTATTAAACTGTATTAATATAATATAAAAGGTAACTAATGTTTGTGAAATAATCAGCATTTTGTTTGAATTCATCACAACTCGATCTCATTCATTGCACACAATTGTTATCCATTGGTATCTTTGGATACTTTTATTAGAGTAAAGCTTTTAATCAGTAAAACTCTTGAGAGATGAATCACTAAAAGGCAATTGTTTTCAGACTTGAGAGATGAGACCTAAAGTATAATAATAGAGGGAACGGTACTAATATTTTATTGCTACAGCAGTACAACCATAGTATTGTCAATACAATTGATGCTACCAGTGCTGCTATTGATGCTACCAGTGCTCTCTTTCTCAAGTCATGCATTTCATTAGCAATTTTTCTTTATTCTATTAGTTTATAATATAAAAAGTTTATATATTTAACATTAAGAGGCAATAGTTAGTGAATTGCATTAATGTTTTCTTATTCGTTACTCTTTTTTTGTAACCTTTTTTTACTTAACTTTCTTTTCTTTTGATTTTTTGTTATATCTTTTATGTTGTTTGGTATCGATTGAGTCCATCCCAGGAGTAACTCTACATTTCAATGTATTCAATGTTTGTTTTCCTTTTTATGTTTGATTGTTATAATTCAGTCATAAGATTGATTGCTTGCTTTCAAATTCATTACTGTTTGGCTAAATCTATCATTATTTTTATAATTTTATAATATTTATATATTTCTACTGTCGTTAATTATAGCTAAATATTTATTACTGCTACAAAACATTACTGTATTAATATATTATACATTATTATATTATATTGACACTCAAATTTTAAATTACAATAATGTATATACCTTAACATTGAAAAAATTAAATTAATAAATTGAATTAAGTTTAATTATACAATATTAATTCATAATTATAATAGTAGTCTAATTCACACATTTTTAAATTAACTATTTTTCTCTAATTATGAAATCAACAAATATAGATTTAACTAAATACAGTATATTCAACTTTATAAATGCCGATTATATAATGTAATTTACATTAAGTAAATAAGTAAGTTAGATATAAATAATATTAACGTAATCTAGATTTTAATTAAGATTATTAAATACAGTATAAAATTAAAAATTATCTTGTTAATTATTTATTAACAAATACAGTCGATTACATAATTTGTGAATAATTAAACAATTAAAATTAATTATGCAATTTATTATAATTTAATATACTCAATGTGAATAACTAAACTAAAATTTAAAAAAATAAATAA